GAACCCAGGGCCTCATGCATGCAAGGCAAGCACTCTACCACTGAGCCACCTTCCCAGCCCCGGGTTGGACAAATTATTAAGACCAGATCTCTCCAGAATCTATTGGCAGAAATCGTAGAGATGGCCAGGCACCAGTGGCTCGCACTTGTAATCCTAGCTGAGATCTGAGGATCATGGTTCAAATCTAGCCGAGGCAAGAAAGTTCATGAGACTTATCTCTAAGTAACCTGAAGTAGAACGCTGGCTTAAAGTGCTTGAGCACCAGCTTCAGCAGAAAAGCTAGGGAACAGCACCCAGGCCTTGATTTCAAGCCTCATGACCAACAAAAAAAAAAAAAAAAGGAAGAAAAGAAAAGGCAGTGATGTTAGGACTGGAGGGAGTCAGGGCCCAAAGGGTCAGCGAATAGCTAGCCAGGGTGGAGAAGAGAAAGACTCTCTCTCCACAGAGGACAGAGCACTGAGGGCAGGTACTGCCAGAGGAGGACAGAAGTAAGAATACAGCAGTGCCAGCCAGACCCGGAAGTCATCAGAGGAGTAGAGAAGATCATCAGAATAGCTTGTTAAATTGACTGGTCTTCCTCCAATCAGCTCCACAGGGTAGGAGTTTGGTCCCAAAGATCTCTGTACCCTAAAGGGGCTTTGAGATCCCCAAATGAAGGAGGGCTTTGACCCTAGTCCAAACATTGAGAGGAAGGGTCTGCGCAGGCCCTGAGGAATGTAACTAGGGTTTTGAGGCATGAAAAGGATTTGAAGAGAGGGAGCTGAATTCATTTGCTTTTGTCTGTCACCAGCTCTGGGGCCCAGGGGTGGAGGGGGGCTCCATCCCATGGGAACTGCCTGAGAATTCCCACTTCCTCTGAGAAGCCCCCTTCTCAGACCCTCCAGATGGCAGTGTGGACAAAGGCATCCATTAGCATAAGAATTGGCCCCCCACCCTGTGGATGAGGTCATTGGCCTGGGATGGGGAGGAGGAACGTAGTCTGAGTGATCTTTGGGTGAGCAGTGGCACTGTGTCTGACTGTGGGAATCTGCTTGTGTGACTGTGAGGCCCTCTGTGTGTGTGTGACTTTGTTTGATGTCTGTGGGTATGTGTAACCATGCGACTTCACCCCACATGGAGCAAATTTTGTGTGATAAGGTTTAATATGAAGAGGGGGTCTGTAGTACAGGGGAGCAATCTGAGACAGGGCAGGCAGAAGGCTGACCCAGCTTTGCTTCCCAACCTCCAGGACTCTGCTGGAGGCTGAGAACTCGCGGCTGCAGACACCTGGCAGTGGTTCCAAGACTTCCCTTGGCTTCCAGGGTAAGAGGAGGGGCTAACTTTTCTTTGTTCTTTTTTTTGGGGGGTGAGGTGGGGCTTGAACCCAGGTCTTGAGCTCTTTTGCTCAAAGCTAACACTCCAGCACTTTGACCACAGTGTCATTTCAGTTCAGGGGGTTAATTAGAAATCAGAATCTCATAGACTTTCCTGCCTGGGCTGGCTTTGAACTGCAATCATCAGATCTCACTCTCCTGAGTAGCAAGAGCCACGAGCACCTAGCTTCCTTTGTTCTTTTTACCAGGGGCAGACTTTTTCTGACATACCAATCTAAGTCTTTTTTTTTTTTTCCCTGTATGTGCATGTTCTGGTATTGGAGCGGAACTCAGGACCAGGGCATTCTCCCTTAGTTTATTTGCTCAAGGCTAGTAGTGCTTTACCACTTGAACCACAGTTCCCCTTCCAGCTTTTTGGTGGTTGTTTGGAGATAAGAAGCTTACAAACTTTCCTACTCAGTCTGGCTTTGAACCATCATCTTCAGATCTCAGCTTCCTGTGTAGCTAGAATTACAGATGTGAGCCACCGGTCCCTATAACTCCTAACTCCTTGGTCCGAACAGCACTGAGCATGCTCTCAGCCCAGCCAGCATCCTGTGCTAAGGGCAGCATCCTGGTATACTCTAGCCACTGGCAAGGACTGCCCTGTGGCTCTCCAAAGAACCAAAATATACTGATGCTGTTTCTTCCCCCTCTGCCTTTCTAGACCCCAAGCTGGAGCTGCATTTCTCTGGGACCCCAGAGGGTCGGCGTCTGGGACCTTTTCTCCCTGTCCTCAGCCCAACTCCTCTCCCTTCACCCTTGCCCAATACCCTTGAGACACCTGTGCCAGGCTTTCTGAAGAGCCAGGAATTCCTTCAGACCCATACCCCTACTCCCACTCTAGCCAGCACCCCCATCCCAACCACACCTAAAGCTCCCTGCCCTGCTACCAATGCAGAGATCAGAGCCCAGGATGCCCCCCTTTCCCTGCTCCAGCCACAGGATGTGAGGCAACAGGCTCCAGAGTCCCTATGGGCTGAAGCCAAAGCAACTTTCCCTGACAGCATCCTCCCTAGACCAGAGGAGCCTGGAGGCGAGCAGCAAGGGGTTAGTGCAGGCCAGTCCCCTGAGGATCAGGCCTCCTCAGTCCAACTCCTCAGTTCTGACTACCCCAAATTAGAGGCTAATGATGGAGAACCCAGTGAGACTAAAGGATCTAGTATATTCCCAGAAGATAAAGGGCAAGTCTGGGGGCTGGTAGAGAAAGACGTAGACATAGAGTTCAAAGCAGTGAGTAGTTTACAGCAGGAAACACAGCAAGAGGAAGGAGAGTTGGACATGAAGGAAATTCAGGACTTCCACGGTCTTTTTGAAAAAGAAACTGCAAAGGTTCTGCAAGAGGAGATTCAAGAGCCACCAGTGTGTTTGGAAAACCAGAGCCATAAGACACTAGAGAAAGGGAATCCTGAGTATCTGAGGTCTTTAGAAGAAGAGAACTTAGAAGCAACAAAAAGTACAGAAAAAGAAAATCAAGAGTTATTAAAGTCTTTAGAAGGAAAGGATGTGGAGGAAGAGAGACCTCTAGATAAGGACATACAAACATTGGAATCCTTAGAAAAGGAGAACCAAGAACTAATGATGTCTCCTGAACACAACATAGAGAGACATTTATCTCTAGGAAAGGATCAGGAATTAGTAAGGGCTCTAGAAGAGGAGAACTTAGAGTTATTGAGAGCTCTTGAAAAAGAGAGTCAGCAGTCACTGAGATCTCAAGAAAGAGAGGACCAGGAGACGTGGAGTTCTGTAGTCAAAGAGAATCAGGAGTTCCTGACACCTCCTGAAGATGAGAATCAAGAGATCTTTAGACCTGTGGAGGAAGAGAATCCGGAGCCACTGAAGTCACAAGAAGAAGAGGACCAGGAGATTGTAAGATCTCCAGAAAAAGAGAATCAAGAGCCATTGAGGTTACTAGAAGAGGACCAGAGACCTCTCAAAAAAAATCAAGAGCCATTGAGGTTTGTAGAGGACCAGGGATCTCCAGTAAAAGAAAATCAAGAGTCATTGAGATCTGTAGAAGAAGAGGACCAAAGAACTGTGAGTCCTCTAGAAAAAGAGAACCTGGAACCACTGATGTCTCCAGAAGAAGACCAGAAGATTATGAGCCCTCTGGAAAAAAAGAACCAGGAGCCATCAGAGTCTCCAGAAGAGGACCAGAAGATTGTGAGCTCTCTAGAAAAAGAGAACCAGGAGTCATTGAAATCTTCAGAAGAAGAGGACCAGAGAATTGGGAGCCCTTTTGAAATAGAGAACCAGAAGCCACTGAGGTCTCCAGAAGAAGAGGACCAGAAGATAGTGAGTTTTCTTGAAAAAGAGAACCAGGAGCCTCAAGAAGAAGAAGAGCAAGAAATGCTGAGATCTCTTGACCAAGATACTCAACAGCCACTGAGTGCTCTAGGAGAAGACCAGATGATACTTAGACCACCAGAGAAGGAAAATCCAGAGCCACTGAAATCTCTTGGAAAAGAACAAGAGGTAGATTGGTCTCTTGAAAAAGAGAATCGAGAGTTATTCACGTCAATGGAAAAAGAGAGTATAGAAGTTGTGAGATCTTTTGAAACAGAGAACCTAGAACCACTGAAGACTGCCAGAGATGAGGACCTGGAAATATTAAAATCTCTAGAAACCCAAGAACCACTGGGGGCTGTAGAAGAAATTGGTAAGGAGACAATGAAAGCTCTAGAAAAGGACATTCAAGATACCCTGGGGTCTGTAGGTGAAAACCAAGAGACACTGAGACCCCCAGAAAAAGAAAATAAAAAACCAGTCAGCTCTCTGGAAGAGCAGAACCTAGAGACTCTGACATCTCTAGAAGTGGCAGAGAAGGAAAGTCAAAGGGATCTGGGAGAGGAAGAGATGGGCGAGAAGCAACAGTCACTCAGTTCTCTGGAAGAGGCGGGACAGGAGCTACCTCAGTCTACAAATCAGCCCAGGTGGGAGGATTTGGAGATGGAGGACCAAGCCCTTGCTCAGGCACTCCCGGCTGAGAGGGCTGGAGTAGGAAATGAGGATGAGGTAGAACTGGATCTGGGGGAACAGGATGGGGAAAAGGAGGTTGCACAGCAGGGACAGCCACAGCTAAACATCACAGGGGAGAGCTGGGATTCTGGGAGTTTAGAACCCAAAGAGCAGAGGGTCCCAGCAGAGGGAGCCAATGGAATGGGAGGCAGTGAGGGCCTCCAAGGTCAACCAGAGCATGTGGCGACTTCCCAGGGAAAACCAGAAGCAATAGAGCCCCTATTGGAAGCTGAAGATGTGGCCATAGAACATGACCAAGTCCCCCTAGAGGTGACCTTGGAGTCAGAGACAGTCAGGGGTGAGTCTGTCAAAGTAGGAGCTGAGGTGGGACTGGAGCCAGAGATCACTGAGGTTGGGCTGGAGGACCCAGAGCAACTGCCTAGAGAGGAGATGAGTCAGCCACTTATGGGAGAGGAAAGTTTGGAGACAGAGAGTGCTCAGGGCCTGGAAGGTCCTAGAAAGGACCTAGAGAAGGCAGATGATCTGGAGGTAGCATCCACTGATCTGCCCAGGACCAGCAGAGACCCCCTGGAGCCTTCCAAGGGTTTAGAGGAGACAGTGCCTGCAGACCCTTGGGTAGCAGAGCCATTCCGGGCTGAGACCCCAGCCCATGGCGGAAGTGATGCTCCTCCACCCACGTCCCCAGGGACAGAAGATGAGGGGGCACAACCAGTGCTGGGGCTCTCCCGTCCCGGGCCCTCAGAACACGGGCCACCTAGTCCAATCCCAGAAGATGTTCCAGGGTGCCAGCTCCAGACTGAGGGATGCCAAGAGGCTACCTGGGGTAAAGAAGGTAGAGCTGAAGCCCTGGGAAAGGAGGAGGGTACCCTGGAGGAGTTTGGTCCTCGGGGGGTCCCTGAAGAAGGTCTCCAGGAAGAAGAGGAGGAGAGCAAAGAAGAGAGTGAGGCTGATGAGCTCGGGGAAACCCTTCCAGACTCCACACCCCTAGGTCTCTACCTCAGCTCCCCTGTCTCCCCTGGATGGAGCTTGGCTGGCGAGCAGAGGCCCTCCCCTCAAGGGGAGGCTGGGAAGGAAAGCTGGGACTCAGATGTCCTAGCCTCCAAGGGTGTGGGAGCTCCACTCTCTGAAGAGGAGGAGGAGGAAGAGGAGGAAGAGGAAGAGGAGGAGGGTGGGGAAGAACCAGGCCCTGACTCTGACCTGTCAGAAGAATTTGAGGACCTAGGGGCTGAGGTTTCTCATCTTGCTGGGATCCCCAGGTTGGTGGCAGAACCTCTGGGCCAGGCATCCCAGCTGCTAGATCATGCAGACTGGCATCAGGATGGGGAGTCAGATGGGTTTGCGGATGAGGAAGAAAGTGGGGAGGAAGGAGAGGAAGAAGAAGAGGAGAGGACAGAGCCAGAGTCCCGAAGGTGGGGACAAGGTTCCTCTGTGGGCAGTCTCCAGGCCCTGGGTAGTTCTCCAAGAGGAGACTTCCTGGAGCCCGAGGCGGTGGGTGTCAGTGTCCCCTGGGATGATGGCTTGAGGGGCACTGTGGCCGATGCTCATGTGACCGCCTTGGAGACTGAGCCTTCTGGTTTAGAGGAGGAGTCTGACCCTGTTCCCATGGAAAGGGAGGTCAAAGTATCTGGTCCTTTGGAGACCCCTAGAGAGGTGGAGGTCATGGGCCCTGGGGAAGGGGACATTTTCAGTAATGGTCAGGAACCCAACCTGGAGGAGTCAGAACATGTGAATGGAATGGTGGTGAATGGACTGGAACAGTCCAAGGAAGTAGGACCTGGGACACAGGGGACCCCAGATGGGGACCAAGAGCTCTCCCTACAGGAAGGGGAAGCCCAGAAGACACCTTGGGTAGGGACTCCTGTACACCTGGCCCCAGGCAGGTTCCTGAAATTCACGCCAAGGGAAGTAGAGGGAGATTCCTGGTCTTCAGAAGAAGACTAGAGAAAGCTCCTGGGTCAGACAGGACAAGGTGGGGCACCCCCCACGCCCCTCCCTGCTCAAGGGCAGCACGCCTAACTTAGGTTGTTTTGATCTGTGGTTTCTAAGAAAGAAGTCTGGCTGGCTAGGCTAAAATGGAATGACAAACCAGCCCTGTCCACCGTTAGAGGCTCAGGCCTTGCCAGGGAGACATACTGCTCACACCATCCCAAAGGCTTAAGTCAGACAAACCCCTGTAGTACTAGGTCCTCTTTCCTCTCCCCATCAGCTGGAAAAGGCTCCAAAGGGAGACACTGCAACCTTTGGTTATGGAACTCTCCAGCTCTGCCCCCACAGGGGTGTGACCTGGCCAAGTGTGCCAGTGACCTGTCTGGTCCCTCATCCCTGCCCTGTCTAGCTCATCCCTGCTTGAATAAAGTCGGGCTTCCACCTGCAATGTCTGGACTCTTCCTTCCCTGACCCAAAGGGTTTATTTACAGTGCTGGGAGCAATGGGGGGGACTGGGAGAGGAAGCTAGAGAAACTGGTATGGAAGAGGGAAAGATAGACTCAAGCTGCCCACTCCAGCAGCTCTTGGGAGCCAGGCCAGTGACCTCAGCACTTGTACCAGGCCAGTCATCTCTGCTCACAGCACTGATTACAGAGATTAAATACTAGGTGATCCCCACCCTTGTGTGTCCTCTTCAATGGCCCCTCAATGCCGCCAGCATAATGATCCCCCTTGTCCCCAAATCCAAACAGTTGTCTGGGGCCTGATGACTGCCTGGGCCCTGAGCAGGGGTAAGGGAGGAGGGAAGCGCACTCTGCTATTGACTGTATGGCCCCCGGTCAATTTTTAATCTCTGAACTGCAGCTACACAGGAGGGAGGTTGAACTGGGTGACTTGGAGGGCCTTCTGGGACAGGGGGAGCAGGGAAGAGGCTGGGAGAAGCCTTTGAGTTCTTCAGCTTAGATCTACAGAGGGACGTTTGTTTTCTCCTCACAGCCTGAAGACGAGGAAAGAGAAGCGAGTGTGGAAGGGTGGGTTGAGATCTAGGGAGTGTGCCATGTTCTGGGTTGTGCTGACAGTGGGTTGGGCCCAGGGTGCCCCCAGCCCCTTCATCTCCTGAGACATCCCCACTTCCCATGAATTCTCTGGGTCCCTGTGTGTGAAAAGGGAGGGATGGGAGAGTGGGGGTTCTTGGCTTAGGTGGGACTGAAGGCATTAAAATCAGGATACCCAAATAGAAACTTTTCCATGGTTCAGCTCTGTAGAGAAAAGGAGGTTCTGGGGAGGCTTCTAAATATCCGGGGTCGGGGTGGGATAGGGCTGCCAACCGAACGTTTCACTCTTGGAGAGGATCTCACACCTGGCAGCAAGGCTCTTCCTGTCCTTGGGCTCTGGGGACTGGGAAAGAAAAAAGGCTGAAATCTCAGCTTGAGAGTCCCCCCAACCTTCCATCCTGGGGCCAAGGAGGGTGAGTGCCAGGCCTGTGGTGGTCAAATTGTCCATCAGGCCCTTCTTCCCCTTTGCCCCCCCCATCTCTCTCTATGTTTCTGTCTGTCTGTTTCTGTGTGTGTTTCTGTCTGTCTGTCTGTCTGTCTGTCTCTCTCTCAGACTGTACTGGCATACAGACTTTGGTTTATACACACCCCTGACCTCAGGGTCCAGGGCCTGTCTGTCCTACCCCACCCTCCTGGCACATCAAGCCTCCACTCTCCCTCCTGTACCCACTGTTAACAAGGCCCTGTCTGATCCCACTAGGCTACTCGGCCTGGAGCCAGTAAGCAAGCAAGACCCACTCCCTTCCCCTCTAATGGGACAGAGGCGCCCTGTGCTTGATCCTCCCAGGCCTTTGGGCACACTCATTTAGGGGAACACCAAGGACAGAGGCTGAGCCATGAAATGCCTCCTTGTGCCTCATGTCCCTCCTGCTCCTACCTAGGGCCTGTGCTCTCCAGCAGAGTTATCTAAACCATTGCTGCCAATAATCACAAACAAGGAGGGATATACATTAGGCAGAAGTAAAGTCCTCATGGGAGGTTTGGTCTGTTTAGAAGTAATAATCTGGGGGCTGGGACGGTGGCTCAGTGGTAGAGCGCTTGCCTTGCATGCCTGAGGCCCTGGGTTCAATTCCTCAGCACCACATAGGCAAAAAGAAAAATAACCCGGAAGTGGCGCTGTGACTCAAGTGGTAGAGCGCTAGCCTTGAGCTGAAGAGCTGAGGGACAGTGCCCAGGCCCAGAGTTCAGGCCCCATGACCGGACCCCCCCACCAAAAAAAGTAATAATCTGTTAATGCAGCAGAAAAAATGAGGGTTAGACGGTGACAAGGGACCTTCTTGGTTGTGAGAATATAAATGATTATGGCTTGCTTTTCATACCAATGCTAGGGTTTGAACTCAGGGTCTGGGCATTGTCCCTTAGCTTTTTATTTTTTTATTTTTTTAATTTATTTTTAAATTTAAAATTTTTTTAAAAAATTTTTTGGGGGTCCGGTTGTGGGGCCTGAACTCTGGGCCTGGCCTGGGCGCTGTCCCTCAGCTCTTCAGCTCAAGGCTAGTGCTCTACCACTTGAGCCACAGCCCCACTTCCGGCTTTTTTTTTCTGCTTATGTGGTGCTGAGGAATTGAACCCAGGGCCTCAGGCATGCAAGGCAAGCGCTCTACCACTGAGCCACCTTCCCAGCCCTCCCTTAGCTTTTTTACTCAAGGCCAGCACTCTAACCACTTGAACCACAGCTCCACTTCTCGCCTTTTGTTGGTTAATGGGAGATAAAAGTCTCACAGAAGCTGGGCATCAGTGACTCAATCCTGTAATCCTGACTATTCAGGATGCTGAGATCTGAGGATTGTGATTTCAGGCCAGCCTGGGCAGAAAAGTCTATGCAACTCTTATCTCTAAAAAACTACTCAGAAAAAGCTGGAAGTGGAGCTGTAGCTCAAGTGGTAGAACACTAGGCCTTGAACACAAAGAGGCTCAGGGACAGTACCTAGCTCTGAGTTCAAGCCCAGCATGCAGAAGAGAGAAGAGAGAGAGAGAGAGAGAGAGAATCCCACAGACTTTTCCGCCTAAGTTGGCTTCAAACAGTGATCCTCAGATCTCAGCCTCCTAAGAAGCTAGGATTGCAGGCATAAGTTACCAATGCTCAGCTGTTCTTTTTTTTTTTTAAACAATAACTAAGCACCTACTATGTATGTCTCATGCATAGTGAAGGGCTTGAGTTATGGGAGTGCAGAGCAGGGGACCTGACCTGACCTGGGCAGGAGTTTGGGAGGGGGTAGTCAGGACAAGCTTCTCTGAGGATCTGAAGAATAAGCAGGAGTGGCCAGTTCAGGATGGCAGATGGGAGGAGGGGGGGTGGAGCCAGCACGTGTAGGATTCTGAGGCCAGAAGAGAGAGCTTGGGCATTTGAAGAAGAGAAAGAAGCCAGGCATTGGTGGCTCACGCCTGTAATCCTAGCTACTCAGGAGGCTGAGATCTGAGGGTTGTGGTTCAAAGCCAGCCCAGGCAGGAAAGTCCATGAGATTCTTATCTCCAAAAAGCCAGAAAACACGAACCCGAAGTGGTGTCTCCCAAAGGAGATTGAAGAGGGTCAGGGACAACAAACAGGGGCCCCACCTGGAAGCCAGGAAATGTATACTATTGCCTAAGAGAAATGGGAATTCTCAGAAGGGAGCCAGAGGAAGGCTGCCTGCCACCCCAGTGGTCCTGGCACAGAACAAGGAAGCAGTGGTATGGAGTGGGGATGGAGAGGAGGTGTGGGAGGGAAGCAGATCTCAGGATTGGTGCGCAGTGGAGGGGCCATAGGGCAGTAGAGATTGCAGGTTTTTAGCCTGGACGTCTGGGACATGGCTGTGCCATTTTCTGTGATGAATTCGGCAGGAAATTGTGAGTCCAGAAGCAGCACCTTGCCTGGAGCAAGGTCCGCAGGGATGTGGCTGGCGGTCAAGAGAGAGGATCAGATTGGAAATAAGAGAGGGGCATTGGCCTAATGAGCTGCCAGAAGAGAGCTGGGAGAATGGGACCACGGCAGTCTCCAGGGACTCCCAGCTGAGAGGCCACCAAGTAGTGCAAAGGAGCTGGAGAAGAAGAGGCCAAAGAGAGGAGGACCTGAGAAGTGCGGAGTCTCACAAGTATCTCTCAATGTAGAACTTCAGGAAAACAAAGATTTTCGTTCCTCTCGTTGCCCAGCGCTCCTGATCAATGCCTGAGAGAATAGGGGAGATTAAGGAAACACATTCGAATGAATGAATGAATGACCAGACCATGGGACACACTTCTAAGGGTGGTGTTCCTGGAGGAGGGACTACAGAGGAAGCAAAAGGCACAGCAAACCTCCTCTCCCCGCCCCCCCCAACAAGCAAGAGGTTATTCTGGGGCCTCCTCTGAATAAATATAGCCTCTGAGTGGGGCGGGGGTAGGGTGGGGGGCCGGAGGTGGCTTCCTCGGTTTGTTTGGGGCTTTTCCTTATAAGGCTGTGCAAGCTGAGGCGCTGGGACGGTGAGGTCAGGGGCTGAGGCTCCATTTAGCCGGCCTGATGCTGTCCCTGTTGCCAGAGTCTCAAAGGAAATCAAAGCTAGGATTTGGGTTCCGGCCAAGGGCACTCAGAGGGTGGCTTCTTAAAGCGCTCCCTCTGCCTTCCTGTTTGTGGCCAAAGGGGAGAGGGCATGCTACCAGACGCCCCCCTCTCCCCATCAGCTGGTGACCCTCAGCCTCTTACGTCCTGGAGGGCCTCGGTTTTCTATCTGTACCATAATGGTTAGACTGGGTCATTCTGAGGCTCTGTAGAGCTGTTACCAGTGGTCTAACTCTTCTCTGTTCTGCTATAGAATCTGTTACTTTTGCTCTGGCCTCTGGGTCAAAGAATCAGGGTTTACTCACTGCCTACAAAGAAAGATCCTAGTCCCTCTGCACCCCATAGTCACCAATCCCAGCCTCTCCTTGGGAACAAACTGCTGCCAGTTGACCCTGTGGTGTCACAGCTGCTGTCAGCAATGCCACCCTCCTGGGGCAGGGATGGAAGAATGTGATTTAATTTCTGATGGAATGTGCCCTTTGGGACTGCCCATGGAAGAGGAGGGAGTGGAAACCAAGCCAACCCGAGCCTAGGAGCCTAGGAAACCAGAGAAGACACCAGGCTTGGAGAGAGGCCCCTAGGTCTCTCTTAGACCCCACCACCCTCACCCTATGGGGAGGGCTAAGTTCAGGGTGGGCCTTTGAGCAAGGAAAGACTGGTGTTTTCTCCAACATGGCAGCTTCTTCCTTCCCAAGCCCTACCCCAGGCTGGGCTCTGCTGCCCAAAGTGTGGATGTCGGGCTGGGAAGGTGGCTCAGTGGTAGAGCGCTTGCCTTGCATGCATGAGGCCCTGGGTTCGATTCCTCAGCACCACATAAGCAAAAAGAATAAAAGCCGGAAGTGGCACTGTGGCTCAAGTGGTAGAGCACTAGCC